AATCTTTCCCGTAGTTGGCATACCAACCGAGCGAGATAACTGAGTGCAATCCAACCCACTGAAGGACGAGAAGGAGCGGAGGCAAGCGCCACGAAATCAAATTCAACCACTTCCGGCGCTTCACCTGATTTAAAAATCACAAGATAAACAAATAATAAAAGGCATATAAAGAAAAGAAAAGTTATTTACAGGACTATCGTTTTTTTTATTTGTAAAAACTTGTTACAACCAATAGAAGCGAACATTTAAACCAACCTCACTTCGATCAACCGGATGTTAGGATGCCCGACAACCACTGCGAGCGTGCAAGTCCCTGTAAACCGAAACTAATGCTGAGTTTCCGGGGCTTGACTGCATACAGTAGATCGTTTTGTAAAGATTACGCGCGCAACGCGAACATCACAGATTATTCTGAAACTTACGTGGACGCTAGCGATAACGCCAGAACATGTATAAATGCCGACGCGCTTCATCACTTGTCAGTTGATTGACTGCCGACGCTTTGTTCACCACTATGAGTGTCATAGTGCATTGCTATAATCGGACTTTTCGTTTACCAGCCACAAATCGGCCGAACAAAATCTGATCTTGGACTGCTGTACTTGTTAACATCATGACACATGTTACATTATTATTTGAAATACTTGCTAATAGTCAGAGGTAAAATAGAGTTATCGCTCACATTGCAAGAATAACTGTGTTTTTTTGCAGTTTCGTAGAGGGCCGCATACTTTCATTTATTTATTTATTTATTTATTTATTTATTTATTTATTTATTTATTTATTTATTTATTCACAATACTGTAAGCCCTGTCGGGCTGTTACAGAGTGGGAACTACATCATACAATGACAATTTTAATTTACCAACAAAAGATTCAACTGTGTCTACATTCTCAAAGAAATCGGCGGCAAGACAGTTCCAGTCGACAATCGTTCTGACAAGAAAAGTGTTTTTAAATGTGTCAATTCTCGGTGTGTAGGGCATAATTACGTGTGGGTGATTGGTTCTTGATGAGACTCTTCCTGGGGGACGCAAATAGAGAGAAGGGTTTAAATTGAGCTTATTGTTCTAAAGCTGATATAAAAACTTTAGTCGAGTGATTTTTCGGCGAATGGCAAGTTGAGGTAGTTTAACCTCAGTGAGCAGGGTTGTTATTGACTGCCTCCTCTCATAAACGGAAAAAATAAATCGCGCTGCTAGCCTCTGAACGCGCTCCAGTTTATCTATTTGATATTGGTGATGCGGGTCCCAGATCATACTAGCGTATTCTAAGGTAGGCCGAACAATAGTTTTGTACGCCTGAAGTTTAACCTCAGGAGGAGCGCCTCTTAATTTACGTCTCAGTAGTCCAAGTTTCCGCTGCGCTGATCCGCAGATATTGTCAATATCAATTTATTGATACGCAGCGTTGAACGTCCTAAAACAACCATATGATGATGAGAGACGTCGCAGTGGAGGGCTCCGGTAATATCGACCATGCACCTGGGGTTTTTTAGCGTGAACCGAAATCTGATCACACAGGCCTACATCACTATCGCCTCCATCAAAAACGCAGCAGCCGCAGCCTGGATTCGATCCCACGAGATGCGGGTCTGCAGCCGAGTACCTTAGCCACTAGAACACAGCGGTGAGGCAGCACCATTTTGTCAGCACGGCCGTTTTCCCAATTAATCTAAGCGTACATGGCATACAAACCACCTCAGCCACAAACACGCTGTTTAGTTCAATACAAAAGCTCATTTACTAGTAAATATACGACACCAATGTGTACACTGAACAAATTTGCCTCCCATTCATATTTTTGGGCGAAGCTTCTTATGGTCTAGCCATGTCCGCCGTCCATGACGATGACGTTGACGCTGGTGACGATGATGAACGAATGTGTTCGAGACTACACATTCTCTTTTAGCCACGGAGAAAAACGACCGTTAAAACGCTCTCACCCGCAAAGGGTCTTCCTAGAGTTGACTGTTACAACGACACGTCTTGTCACTCATTTGCATTTTCGAGTGAGATTCATAGTTACCCCAATGATACCACGCCCACTCATGATCATTCACTTGGAAGATATGCTGTAATATTTTTCCATTATACACGTTTGTAAACGCGTTAACAATGCAAGCAAAAAAAATCGGCCGCCAGCAGGCGTACTACTTGCAGAGCAGCACTAATCTGCGGACAATCAAGATAAGTGGTCGCAGAGTGTAGTGCAGCTTCAGGCGATGATAACACGCGAAAACACGCATATCTTCTCCAGCGAGAAACTTGTCCGACATGGCACCTTGCTTTCGGGGTTTTTGCTATAGGCGAAACACAGTTCACATGACCCCTGCTTCCCTCTCCGATGCTTGCTCACAATTCCACAATTGCTTCAGCGTGGCTCAATTTCGGACTGTGTGTGAGCAGTGCTCCGAATGAATCAGGAATGCTTTGCAAATTTACAAACCATAGTAAAGACTTGCAACTCGTGCACGTGAAGAAGAAGGGGAGCAAGCCTTTGCATTTTTTTAATCCGGAACTGTGTTGTGAGCAGTTGTGTTGCCATTTACAAGATGGCTGTTTGTTGCGTAAATCTTGGTACAAGCATCATTACAATGTAAAGAACAAGAATGCTGCTGGTTCTTTTCCTTGCTATGAATTGTAAGACATATGGATGCACACAAGCACTGAACAGAAGGTCGTAGACAAATTCATTTGATGCCCGAGATCATTCAGGCGAAAAGTTTTAGAAAGTGTCAAGGTGTTAGTGTGCGCCTTTATTTTTATTAGGCATCGAACTGGATTTTCTTAGACATAAAACACGACTTCAGTAAGATACTGTTGTGTGCTTCTTAGAACTTGGGATGATTTGTTTGCGTTTTCAGAGCGTTTGTTGTTTTTTATTCGTTTTCTAACTTGTGCTTTGAGTGCGATATATAATGTGTAACAGTGTAAAGAAATAAAAACGATCTATATGTTTAGCGCTGATCCTTTGTCTTTTCCTTTTCTTGCTTACATCTCCTGTTTCGTTCATACACAAACTGAGCTGCGGTAAGGCATCGCAAGAGTATGCTGCCCTAAGTTGGCCAAGCAGCAGTACGTAGTACGTGCTGAAGAAGGGGCTTTTCGTCTCTCATAGTTCACCTGGAAAGCGCCGGTATTGTATTCGAAGAGGACAATGTACGGAGACTTCCGGGAGGCTTGACTTAAAACGCACGAAGGCCAGGTATCTTCGCAGACTCACTGAGCTATGAAAACAGTATTGGTCGTGGCTACTCTGACATTAGGTTACCACAAAATGGACACTTTCCTTGTTCGTACTGTGCACAGGAATTCGCTGAAGCACTGAGCAAAACAAGAATTAACAAAGGATGCACAGCATCACATAATTGGGGCACTTGCGCTGAATGATGGTTGTGCTGCATATGGAATTTTCGTTTATGGCAGACTTATGTAAAACGAAGGAAAAAATTCCCCAAGTGAGAACAAACTGTTTACATCAGGGAACAAAGCTTTCTGACACACCAGACCGAGTTCAAAATTACAAAAATGTAAATTGCGAGGAATAATGAAAAAAGACGCAGGCCAACAAGACGGTAGAAAATAGTCAAAGGTGTCCTTTCTTCCTTTCCTTGAAAGTTCACCTTTATTACTGAACACTAGTACCCACAAGCACGACATCTAGGCAACTACCATGGAGGAAATTGGGATGCTGGACATGTATACAAATACGTGTTAGTTCTGCATTATTCACTACTTACTAGGACTTGGCAGATACACAAGGAAATGTATTCCGAAATAATGGGTTCGAAGCCTGAAATACAGATACTGAAGTTGATTGATATGTGGAGCCAACGTCCCAAACCATGTGGTTATGAGAGGCGCCGTAGCGGAGGGCTCTGAAAGTTTCGATCACCTGGGTTTTCTTAGGTGCATCCAAATCTAAGCACAAGCGGCTACAACACCTTTTGCCTCCACCAAAAATGCAGTCGCCGAAGCCGGGATTTGATCCCGCGACCTGCGGGTGAGTAGCCGAGTACCTTATCCGCTGGACCACCACGGCGGGGCACAGATACTGAAGTATATTTTCGGTCGACGTAGTGGCATATTTCAGTGATGCTTTTTTACAGTCGCAAGAAGTATTCTGGAATTTCGCAAAGACGTTAAATAGTGCAACAGCTTTTTCTTGCACTAATTGCAAAGCAGTGAATTACACAAATCCGCACAGCACTGAATTTTGCAGTATAATTGTTCTTTACTACAAGCAAACTAAGCTTAACGCCATTAAAATACAGCAGAGGGCGAACTTACTAAGTACATTACGGGTACTAATTACATAACTGCAGTTATAAAATTCAACAAAAATGGCTTGCCACTCCCAAAAATGAGGAGTGCTGTCACTTTCCCCATGAGCGACAGTGATTTTCAGAGCACAACACTGCCTCAGGATTTCTGACAGCAGCAGCGTCGTGCGCTTTACCACATCGGCCATTCTGTGCTAGAGTGGAAGCCGTCACTGCCCTATCTATGTCGCCTTTTGTAGTCTTGGCAAAAGGGAGAAAAACTTCATTCCCCCTTGGAAGCACTGAAAACGCACCCTTGACTAGCTTCGCATACAACAAAAATGTAACGAGATACCGGAGCCCTGCATAGCATCGCGATACAATCGATACATCGTAAAAGTATTTCACTGCTGATTTACAAATTTAATTTTGAAACGTATCCAAAACACATACATATACTATCGCAGTACTCTTGTATTGCGATTATGTCCAGCCCTGCTTCTTACGCGTACCTATGCTTCTACAGATCCGAAATGTTTCCTAAGCAGAGAGATAATTTTGGTGACCTGTGCGAGCCACTTTTTCGATTATTCGCGAGAACTACCTATTGGAGTACGTACAAAGGCGTGCGAGTTTGTACGTCACCTAACAAACTGCACAGTGCAAGAAAAACAGAGACAGACGTTGCTTTAGCGCGAATAAAGCGAAAAAAAACAAAATAGATGCGGGTACTCACTCTCTGCGTTGAAGAGTATCACACCGAGGGAAAGGGCGAGCAGCACGAGGCGGTGCCGGAGTCCGTGCGGTCTCCATCCGAAGGCTGCATCAAAGCCCTCCTTGAAGTTATGCATCCGCAGGTCCTTTAGCATGTCACTCAGGCGAGACGTCGACGATGAGGTTCCGGCGTTAAACACTAGTACAACCAGCATGCTGCACACAACTATGCCAACGGAGACGCAGTACACGGGCAGGTATCCGCCCGCGCTAAACAGTTCGCCCGAGATCACCTGCCCCAGCTGGACGCCCACCAGCAGGGCGCTCATGACAACCAGGAATTTCACGGCGCGCATGTCCTCGCGCGACGAGCGCGATGCGTTGCTCTCAACGATGGCGGTCATGCACACCAATCCACCGGTCATGCCGCACAAAAGACCGAGTATCACGTTCACGTACATCGGCGCCGAAAACACCAGCACAGTGACGATGGTGCCGGCGTCGAGCACAAACGCACCACACAGGTTCAGCAGCAAAGGAATGCGGTTACCGTGCTTGTCACACCACGAGCTGAGGAACACTGACATCACTGCGGCGGGAACAAACTCGGCGAGCACCAGCAGAAGGTTGTGAATGTTGGCGTTGCGGGTGACGGTGTCGCGCACGCTGGAGTTCTGCTGGCTTAGCGTGGCGCACACATCGTCCGGGTAGGCAGACAGGCACGACTTGGTGATGAACAGCTGCTGGGTGACTACGAAGCGCATGGCGAACGTGATTGTGTACAGGAAGAGCACTGACTCGAGGCCTAGGCCTCGGAAGAACGGCACCCATCGCTCGCGCCAGCTCAGGTGACCGTTCTCGGTGTCGCACGGCGGGCACAGCACCACCGAAGTGGAGGCCACGCTCTCCTCCAGCACCGGACCGAGCCTCACGGGGTCCTTGCGAGGGGACGAAGCGGCGCTGTCCATCATCGACGACGCGCGTTCATCGTCGATACAACGAGATCGTAGCGTACGCGTCGGCCCAGTGGAAACCCCGGCGTTGCCCCACTCTCCAAAACAGCTGGCGATGACGAAAGAGAAGCGCGCCGAGAGAGAGCCGCGCCGCCAGTCTCGTACACCACCCGAACATATCGCTCAGCCGAAGGGAGGCCGCGTCTATCTCGGTGCTGGTGGCTGCGATAAGCCGCGACTCGTTTGCTCGCTTATGCTATGCTAACTGTTGGCGCGATAAAAGCCGTCACGCTGCTTCCTGAAGACGCGAACTCGCGAGTCCGCCGACGCGGCCGGCTGCCGCCTTCCCGCTGCAGACTCCCGCGCGACGGACCGGTCCGGAGAGAGGGTTTCGCCGCTACTTCGCGCACCGACATAAAATTTCAGGAACGAATAAGAAGGGAGAAAGAGCCGATAGCTACGTAGCGCTGGTTGATTTTGTTTACAAATCACATATCTTAACTGCGAATACTGGCGTTGAACTCTCGACATTGATTCAGCTTTCTAAGGGAGACGTCGTAACTAAGACGGATCATTTATACGCGGTCTTTCGTAAGCAACAAGCGCCAAGCCAAAAAAAAAAAAAAACTGCGGAGAAGTTACGTAGTGGTCCCACCTGATGTAATATGGCACAATGCAATGGCAAATTACAATGCAGATCACGTGCAAGTAATACGCTAACTGAAAAGTAACTCGCGAGGAAAACCGGGGATCCGCTGCTGACCCGAAAGTGGCGGCTTTGATCCCGTCCACGCCGGTCACATTTCGATGTACAGGTTAAAAAATACCACAAATGATTATTTCTCAACACATAATATTTCGGAATCATTTTTTTTTCGTTTAATGACGTATATCCTCGGTTATCGTAATTGAGAATAAAGACAAGACTTGTCTGAACGGAAACCAACATTATGTACCAAATATATATGCCAAAATGCTAAACTTGAGATAAAGAAGCTACAGACTGAGCTTTTTTCTACCGTACTGTAGCAACTATGAAATAAGGATGAACGTGGCGGCACCCTGTAAAGACGCAATTACGCTGTAGGGTGAACGAGAAAACAACCCCTCGGTCGCTTAATTGGCAGCAACTGTATGCTGGGGTTGCCGGCTCGTTTCCTTGTTTGTGCATAGTCCACTTAAATCTTCACATGTGTACAATAATTACTACGACTCAGTGAAGGTGTAGAATGGTGGTGTGTGCGATTAGTGGATTTTACAGGGGAATTGATTAAGATTTGTACTGCGATTACACCATGTCGTATACGAACCGAATGCTATTCAAGTAGTAAGGCAATAATTTTTGTTACTTTTTTAACATATCAATGAAATGGCTTTCGAAACAGCCCAATCATTTCACAAAATTTTGTACGAAATATTTATTTGCAAGTTTTAACGAAGCGTCATTATGGTTACCTTTAACCTACGAACAAAAGCAACATTTTGTAAAGTGAGGTGAGCTCATTTACAACAGCAACTATAGAGCCTTACAAGTATTTTTCAACTACATGTGAGAATGTAAAGAGAAAATATGTAAACGGTCTTTGTGCCAAGCTGACATTTGGACACGTGTACTTGTGTTCTTCAAGGCTAGAGCTGATCTATCGTGCATATGTTTTGTACCCTTTCCTCCAATCGGAACAAAGGAGGGGTAACTGTGGATGCTGAGGAGGGGCTGCAGTGACAAATTGAGTAAGTAGAGGGGAAGAGGTATGCCGTGAATAAAAACGAACGGGGGAGCCGCATTAGTCTCGGTCCCTACTCGAGAATGTAGCAAATGCATAAAACACTCGATGACAAATTTAATTTGAAACGTATCCAAAACACATACATATACTATCGCAGTACTCTTGTATTGCGATTATGTCCAGCCCTGCTTCTTACGCGTACCTATGCTTCTACAGATCCGAAATGTTTCCTAAGCAGAGAGATAATTTTGGTGACCTGTGCGAGCCACTTTTTCGATTATTCGCGAGAACTACCTATTGGAGTACGTACAAAGGCGTGCGAGTTTGTACGTCACCTAACAAACTGCACAGTGCAAGAAAAACAGAGACAGACGTTGCTTTAGCGCGAATAAAGCGAAAAAACAAAATAGATGCGGGTACTCACTCTCTGCGTTGAAGAGTATCACACCGAGGGAAAGGGCGAGTAGCACGAGGCGGTGCCGGAGTCCGTGCGGTCTCCATCCGAAGGCTGCATCAAAGCCCTCCTTGAAGTTATGCATCCGCAGGTCCTTCAGCATGTCGCTCAGGCGAGACGTCGACGATGAGGTTCCGGCGTTAAACACTAGTACAACCAGCATGCTGCACACAACTATGCCGACGGAGACGCAGTACACGGGCAGGTATCCGCCCGCGCTGAACAGTTCGCCCGAGATCACCTGCCCCAGCTGGACGCCCACCAGCAGGGCGCTCATGACAACCAGGAATTTCACGGCGCGCATGTCCTCGCGCGACGAGCGCGATGCGTTGCTCTCAACGATGGCGGTCATGCACACCAATCCACCGGTCATGCCGCACAAAAGACCGAGTATCACGTTCACGTACATCGGCGCCGAAAACACCAGCACAGTGACGATGGTGCCGGCGTCGAGCACAAACGCACCACACAGGTTCAGCAGCAAAGGAATGCGGTTACCGTGCTTGTCACACCACGAGCTGAGGAACACTGACATCACTGCGGCGGGAACAAACTCGGCGAGCACCAGCAGAAGGTTGTGAATGTTGGCGTTGCGGGTGACGGTGTCGCGCACGCTGGAGTTCTGCTGGCTTAGCGTGGCGCACACATCGTCCGGGTAGGCAGACAGGCACGACTTGGTGATGAACAGCTGCTGGGTGACTACGAAGCGCATGGCGAACGTGATTGTGTACAGGAAGAGCACTGACTCGAGGCCTAGGCCTCGGAAGAACGGCACCCATCGCTCGCGCCAGCTCAGGTGACCGTTTCTCGGTGTCGCACGGCGGCACAGCACCACCGAAGTGGAGGGCCACGCTCTCTCCAGCACCGGACGAGCCCTCACGGGGTCCTTGCGAGGGGACGAAGCGGCGCTGTCCATCATCGACGACGCGCGTTCATCGTCGATACAACGAGATCGTAGCGTACGCGTCGGCCCAGTGGAAACCCCGGCGTTGCCCCACTCTCCAAAACAGCTGGCGATGACGAAAGAGAAGCGCGCCGAGAGAGAGCCGCGCCGCCAGTCTCGTACACCACCCGAACATATCGCTCAGCCGAAGGGAGGCCGCGTCTATTCTCGGTGCTGGTGGCTGCGATAAGCCGCGGACTCGTTTGCTCGCTATGCTATGCTAACTGTTGGCGCGATAAAAGCCGTCACGGCTGCTTTCCTGAAGACGCGAACTCGCGAGTCCGCCGACGCGGCCGGCTGCCGCCTTCCCGCTGCAGACTCCCGCGCGACGGACCGGTCCGGAGAGAGGGTTTCGCCGCTACTTCGCGCACCGACATAAAATTCAGGAACGAATAAGAAGGGAGAAAGAGCCGATAGCTACGTAGCGCTGGTTGATTTTGTTTACAAATCACATATCTTAACTGCGAATACTGGCGTTGAACTCTCGACATTGATTCAGCTTTCTAAGGGAGACGTCGTAACTAAGACGGATCATTTATACGCGGTCTTTCGTAAGCAACAAGCGCCAAGCCAAAAAAAAAAAAAACTGCGGAGAAGTTACGTAGTGGTCCCACCTGATGTAATATGGCACAATGCAATGGCAAATTACAATGCAGATCACGTGCAAGTAATACGCTAACTGAAAAGTAACTCGCGAGGAAAACCGGGGATCCGCTGCTGACCCGAAAGTGGCGGCTTTGATCCCGTCCACGCCGGTCACATTTCGATGTACAGGTTAAAAATACCACAAATGATTATTCTCAACACATAATATTTCGGAATCATTTTTTTTTCGTTTAATGACGTATATCCTCGGTTATCGTAATTGAGAATAAAGACAAGACTTGTCTGAACGGAAACCAACATTATGTACCAAATATATATGCCAAAATGCTAAACTTGAGATAAAGAAGCTACAGACTGAGCTTTTTTCTACCGTACTGTAGCAACTATGAAATAAGGATGAACGTGGCGGCACCCTGTAAAGACGCTATTACGCTGTAGGGTGAACGAGAAAGCAACCCCTCGGTCGCTTAATTGGCAGCAACTGTATGCTGGGGTTGCCGGCTCGTTTCCTTGTTTGTGCATAGTCCACTTAAATATCTTCACATGTGTACAATAATTACTACGACTCAGTTGAAGGTGTAGAATGGTGGTGTGTGCGATTAGTGGATTTTACAGGGGAATTGATTAAGATTTGTACTGCGATTACACCATGTCGTATACGAACCGAATGCTATTCAAGTAGTAAGACAATAATTTTTGTTACTTTTTTAACATATCAATGAAATGGGTTTCAAAACAGCCCAATCATTTCACAAAATTTTGTTCGAAATATTTATTTGCAAGTTTTAACGAAGCGTCATTATGGTTACCTTTAACCTACGAACAAAAGCAACATTTTGTAAAGTGAGGTGAGCTCATTTACAACAGCAACTATAGAGCCTTACAAGTATTTGTCAACTACATGTGAGAATGTAAAGAGAAAATATGTAAACGGTCTTTGTGCCAAGCTGACATTTGGACACGTGTACTTGTGTTCTTCAAGGCTAGAGCTGATCTATCGTGCATATGTTTTGTACCCTTTCCTCCAATCGGAACAAAGGAGGGGTAACTGTGGATGCTGAGGAGGGGCTGCAGTGACAAATTGAGTAAGTAGAGGGGAAGAGGTATGCCGTGAATAAAAACGAACGGGGGAGCCGCATTAGTCTCGGTCCCTACTCGAGAATGTAAGCAAATGCATAAAACACTCGATGACCAATTATCTTGCTGATAACGCCATCCGAGCACCGGTTCCCCATGCCCACAAACAAGCAATCATGCCCCTTCTACCTTTTCACGAATGAAGATTATGATGTTTGCATAGGTGAACTACTTATCGCGCAAATCCCAGGCAGGTCTTAGTATCTAAGAACAAACTCCTATAGTACTGTAAAAAATTATCCGTGTTTGAGCATCGGAATTGAATATGAAAACAACAGACAGTGATCTGTTTCTAAAAAAAAATGACGGAAGGGAACGTATTACAGTATTTTTGTGCTGCGTTTTTAATAAAATGGCGGGAGGACCGTAAATGAGCACTAGAAGTTTCTGTTTCTGTGTTCATTCCGTAAAAAAGAAGGAAATTGTGTAAAGCTGATGTATTTTGTCACGTGTTGCGCTATAGCATCCGGGAAGCCGGGAGCAACGCCATTCACACTACTGGTCGGCGGCGGGGGTGAGGCGTGGTGCGATATTTTGTGGTTCATGTTCGCGCATGGCGATTTATGTATTAATTATTTATTAATTTTTTATTTACTTATTTATTTACTATTACTCTTAGCCAAAGGCCGTTACAGGGCGGGGTAAAGAAATACACTTCACTTGTTGACACATGCACAACAAAATGAAATCAAGAAAGACAACACAATGGGCAGTTTTACCAGAGGACCAATCGAAGAGGTAAGTTAATTAAGGTTTACACAGTAGTGACCAACGATTGGCATGGTAGCATAACTTCATACGTTTTACGGATTGGTTAACTTGTACATGTGATTGCTTTTGTGCATGGTGTGATGAAATATGTCGTCTGGACGTTATGTGTAAGCCAGGCATTCTCAAGAAGAAAGTGGCTGTGTGTGGCGATACAGAAAATAAATTGACAGAGCCTCCATGAAATGAAGCCTGCTGTTTTTTTATTTGCAGAAATCCTTCGGCAGCGATTTACCAGCAAGGTCTTCTGTGAACTCAGGCGATTTTTTAGAGTGTATACTGGTGCAACGCGGGCACGTTTAATCGTGATGAGTGCTGGTCTGGATTAAACACGACCCGGATTAGGTGCTGCTACACGATCACATTTAATCAAGATCAGGCCCGATTAGGATGAAGGCTATCTCGATCCGTGCATCGCAATTTCTCTGATGCTGTGTATGAGCCTGCTGAACGCATAATCAATTACAAAAAAGAGCATTCTTTAATACAACCACATAAAAATCAGTTTTCTATTCAAAACAAATAATAAACTCTTTCAGTTGAACCGATATCTGAAATGTCTCATATGTTAAAATTCATATGAACCCCATGTATAGTTATGGGAGAAGCATAACTATACAAAGTGACTACAAAATTGCCGTTTTAGTAAACAACATAATTAATAGAAATTCACCTTTGCCTGCTGATCTTTTTTCAGTTCCTAAACGCAATAGGCGACATGCTTCGAATGGTAATTTCAATCTGCCCAAATGTTTTAATGTTTACGGAGAAAGACTGATACAGTTTAATAGAACAAAAATATGGAACACGGTTCCCCTAGAGATTAAAACGGCACGTAATTTCAGCATGGCATGTAAATCATTTTTTCTGTGGAGTCAAGACATGTAAGCATGTGTGTGTTTGATTCGATTTTCATTGTATTTTTTTTCTACAGAAAAAAATGTATTACTGTGTTATCTGTATTATATGATTGTTTTTTGTTTTTTTTATGTTGTTACCTCAGAGCTGACCTGTACACTTTTTTATGTTGCACATTGTATTGGACCGTCCACTAGCCACTTTAGGCTATCGGTCCAAATAATCCCTGTAATTACATATATCTATTCATGAAAATAAAGTTTCATTGATTGATTGATACGGAACGTAGATGACGGCTGTCTTCAGCGCTTCGTTTAAATATCACACCATTGGAGTAGTTAGAGCACTTGGAAGCCAGGCCCGTAGCAAGGGGGCGATGAAGGCGGCAGATCTATTGTTTTGAATCTCCCCGCACTCGCAATATTTGAGAGGTTGTGTGTGTTTTACCGCGGGCAACAATGAAAAAAATTAGCTGTTCTTCAAGACAGTCAACCGGTCCCCTCTCCCTCTTCTGGCCCTCGGAAAAAATTCCTGGCCACTGGTCTGCTTCACGCAAAGCTATTATTATTTTGCCAAGCTTTCAAATACGTTACAACGTATGAGGAGAGCTGTAACTCAATTGATCTTCCGTGCAGGAGCGGCTGGCAGACATGAGTTGCCTAAACTGAAACTGTGGCGTATACAATGAGATTGCCATTTCGTAGTAATTGTACGGCTACGACTGGGTGCCATAACCGACGAAAGTGAAGATTATGAATTAAAAAGAAATGCAAGAAAAACTTTATCGCACGATGTATTTATGAATCCACATTTGTAGAGTCACGCAGTTCTTGATGTTCGTGCGTTTACCGCACGAATAACGTTGCTGATAGGGCCTATGGGCCTCGCGCGCTGCAACTTCGTACCTAGAGTTACTCTATATGCTACCTTTAGGCAACAGTTGCGCCACTGTTTTCCGGGCACCGCTCACTCCTCCTGCAAGAGTCCCATCACCTCTATTCGCCGAACACCATCGTGTAGTCCGAGGTGGCTCTTCTGCACTGCTGAGAATCCAACCCTTTGCAGGCAATGCCCACACACGGCACGTTCATGCCGGCCAAGTGTAAAGACATCGGGCATCAGCTCTGTTTATATTCTCACAGTCCTTTTCAATAACTACCATCGCGAATTCATGTGTATTATTATTTAGTTATTTATTAACTAGCAAACTCAGTTATTTATTGTTTATTCATTTATAAAAGACGGCGGGATAATGTTCAACCGGGTTGAGCAAAATACACGATAAAGAACAGAAAACAAGGTTACGAAGTGTTTTTTTACAAAATGTTTTGGTTGTAAGACGGAGGGTTGAGATTGAAAAAAGAGCACTTGAACAGCTTGGCCATAAAACAATTCTAAACAAGACATAAAAAAACAACTGTATTTGAACAAATGGTCACCAGCATTGGGGGATAATATTTTCGTTAGTTTATATCGGAGAGCTATAGTTTCTGGGAAAAAAGAGTAGCGAGTTCCGAAAAAGAGTCTTTGAGAAGAATTGGCGTTATGAAATAAAAATAGTGGGGCCGATTGGGTCTGCCTAACAAGGGGAAAACGTATGCTGT